ACCTACATTTTGAAGCTAACGTTAGATATTCCTTTGTTCCAAGTGGCTATGTATCGAATTTCATTTAAATCCCTCCATAAATAAGAAAGTTGGCACTGCGCATGCGCAAAGTCAAAATTGGCGTTAAATTTGCTTTTATTCCAAATGGCTATGTGTCAAATTTCATTTAAATACTTTTATAATTAAAAATGTTTGCAATTCGGTTTATAAATGGTCGAGATGCGAAAAGGGCACTGTAAATTTTCAATCGATTCGACTCAACTTTTGGCATTGCGTATTATATGGCTAAAGCTATGCCCATATTGAATTTCATGCAATTCAGTTCATAACTAACGGAGATGTCAAAGCGATCGGACATTTCAAAACAAAGTTATCGTTCACACGGACAGATAGAGGGACAGACAGACAAAGGAACAGACGGATAGACCAACAGGCAGACGACAGACAGCAATGCAAAATTATAAACGATCTCTAGGATCGTTAATAAACGGCAAAAGTGTAAAATTATGAAACATGTAAAAAACGGTTTTTTTTACAATACCTTTTTTTGTAAGCGGTACAGAAAAAATTCCTTCCTTGGTGCAAGACTCAACACCATAACGAACCAAATAGCGACAAAAGTGGAACAATAGCTCTTTTGATTGAGTAGCGTCTCAAAACGAGCGGACGGACAAAGTGGCCACAATAGCGCATTTTTTTTATTTTTGTGGAAATGCGTTAAAAAGAGACCCAAGCTAGGATGCTACAGTTGCGATGAATTTGGGCACCAGCAAATTACCAAAGAAATCTAAAGAGAAAACTTTGTTTCCGAGATACAGGGTGAAAACGAAAAGTTTAACTTTGGGTTGTTATATCTTACTACCCAGGTAATGCAACACCCTGTTTGTTTTTCTGTTGGGCAATAAAGGGAAATTTAATTTAATTTAATTTAATTAAAACGTCAATTTTTTGCATTCCTCTTCCTGATTACATTGGTGTATCACAACCTATATTTTTTTTTAATTTTAGCCATGAACCAAAAATATAAACATTTTTTACGGCTTTTAAATAGTAGGCCATAGATTCATGGAGATTTTGTTTTATTTATCGTATCCATGGTAACTCAGACCAGTCAATGAAAATCTCTGACTGTAGAACATTTTGGAAATATATAATCATATAACATTTACGTTGATATACAGGGTGTTGCATTTAAAAAATCTTATTCTCTTTCGGAGCAGAGGAGGGAGGTCTTCTTCTAGACCGAATATAATTACGTTGGCGACTTCTTCCAGGGACAATTTTAAGGGTGCATTTGTTACCGACGAATATATCGGAAGAAATTTCCTCCCGGGGGGTTTTCTTAGACCGTCTTATATTGAAAGTCACGGTGTTTGTGGTCGCACTCTTCCGGAACGGCTCAATCGATTTTTATGAATTTGAATTTGGCGGCTTTGACAAAAGGTCGTGAAGTATATTTCACACCGCTAGGTGATTATATAGTTAATAATAATAATATGTTTATTGCCTGTGATCAATATACATTGACATAGACGTAGTCACTCACATTAACAAAAACACATTTGTTCCTTGGGTGTGCGAGAAACCGAGCGTATGTTTCGTCCAAGAAAACTTTGACTGATAGGCGGTATGAAGTTTACCGGGTCTGCGAAACCGAGCTCTTCCAAGAAATTGTGATTTTCCAAAGGCGGTACGAAGTTCGGTCTGGTAGTCATTTTATGTAAATTGCAATTCAGGGCTACATGTACAGGGTTGTTCAAATTCGTGGCTCACCATTGGTATCTCCGCAACGGTGATAGATACAGTGCAGGTTAAATGGCCCGGTTTTGTTATTAACAAAACGCATTTGAAAATTTTGAAACCTAGTTCACCGAAAAACTGTAAATGTCAAATTTTGTTTTATTTTTCTCTAACTTACACGGTCGGAAATGGACGGTTCCCGTTAGTACCTTCTATGGGCACTTTTTTCGCATAATCTGAATCTTTTATCAGAATTTCCATTGCCCTCTAGATGTAGAAGCTACAGCCTACTAGTTTTGTATTTCTTATCGACGCCATATTGAATTTTTACGGAATGAAATAGAGGACCAAAAAGAAATTCATTTGAATGCATCGCCATCATAGCCATTTTGATTCAGCAAGATCTAGATGTTTTGTTGAGAAGTAAATGTAAAACTTTTGCCTTTGAAACTTTTTTTGAAACATTTGTAAATGTAGCATCACACGTCATTATTTTTCTTTTTTTATGCTGTACGCATTCCGTAAAAATCCAATATGGCGTCCATAAGAAATAAGTAAGTAGTGACTTGTAGCTTCTACATATAGCGTGCTATGGAAATTCTGATAACAGATTCAGATTATTCGAAAAAAGTGCCTATAAAAGGTAAACCGTCCATTTCAGACCGTTTAAGTTAGGCAAAATGAAAATTTGACATTTTCATTTTTTGGGGATATCCGAGGTGGTATCTGTTATTTTCCAAGAGTTTTCAAACATTTCGAAAGTACCTAAACTGTATCTCTCACAGTTGCGGCGAGATGGGTGAGCCACGAATTTGGACCACCCTGTACAAGTAATGGAGTATGTGCAGGGTATGACGATATAACGAGAAGACGACAAGTTATCCTGACATTAATTTTTCATTACATTATCAACGAAGGGTAACCAGGGTGCCATGATTAAAATTGAGTCGAATGAATAATATGCACTGATCTGGAGTGAATTTGGGGAGACAAATTTCTTACAAAGGATCCGAATGTACCCAGTCATGAAACCCATTAGCTACAATACATAGATTCTACAGGGTGTAGCATCTAAGACCCCTGGTATAATTCCTTTACCATAAAAGATATCGAAAAAATGTAGGAGCAAAATTGTGCACCATTACCGTCGCCATGTTTCTAAAATATTTCTGGTCAACAGTAGCGTGCTGTATTCCAGTGGCGTATCAAACTTATGTTTTTATCCCCCGCACGTTAGTAAAATTAAAATTGCATTGGGGTAAAAAATGACCCCCCCTCCCTCCACTATGATTATAACAGCGAAATCGAAAGTGAAGGGTACATAAAAAAGGAGGTACTCTTGAAGGACTTTCCAATTATTGCTATACAATGTACATTTCGTATAAATTTTGTGTTAAATTTAACAATCTTTATTTTTCTCTCTTGCTCTGACAATGCTAATGTTTACATAATGTAAAACTTATGGCAATAAATTAATATTATTATAATTCTTCAATAAAATATGGGGTATTTCATTCAAAAAAACATAAGTTTGATACGCCATTCGAATATAGCACGCCACTGGTGGCCAGAAATATTTTAGAAACATGGCGACGGTAATTGTGGACAATTTTGCTCCTAAATTTTTTCGATGTTTTATGGTAAAGGAAGCTCTCAGATGTTACGCCCTGTAGATGTCACTGTGATTAGCTACGCTCTACCGAGTACACTTGTGACTCGAAAGAACCTGCTAGTGACGTCATAAAGATAATTTTTATTATAGTTTTACCTCCTCCTTTTTTTCTATACGTCGAAATGTGTTACTTTCACATTGTACCAGCCACTATTTCATATATGTATACAACAAAAGAATCCCCCCATGAGACATCTCTCAGGTTCTTGAGAAATTTGTCGTGTTGTCTACCGAAACCTTGACATTTAAATTGCAAAATTGAAATTTAAAACAATTATTCAGAGGAGAAGTATAATGTTTGCGTGCAAAGTAATCTAATAAACTTATTACACGGCGTGTGTGTGTAAACCAAATTACAAATATCAACAATCTAAAAGCCCCTTTCGTGAGTATTACGCCCAGCGCGATCATTATCGCATTATTATTAATGAATAAAGTACCGAGTTTGTAAACTATCGATTCGCTAACGTACAATTATTTGCCCTTTTTTGGTTCTTGTTTAGGATAATCCGATTTCGAGGTGCGCCTTATGGTACAGAAATAATCCATTAGTGTTCGATTTTGCGTAAGCAAAATGTTATGTCATATTTTATTACTGATAATAAAGCAGTAAAGCTTCATGCTTTATGCATGCAGTAGCGTCTTAAAATAATTTTAACCCAAATTTTATTTTTATCACCGCTTTGGCACATTTTCGTCTTGAGTTCCTTACATTCGTTCTACCACTTAATCCATTCAGGTGAACTAGTCACGCGTGTACGTTATTCAGGAAAAAAATTTACTCCATGAAAGTTGTACAATCTCAGATGAGAATTTTATATTAAATTTGTTGTTTAATCGAATTTGAATAATGTGGCAATTATAAAATTTAACGAGTATTTCATTGTATTCAAAACCGTTAGTGATTTGAGATTAATCCACTAAATAATAAATCTTGAATATCGAAAATACACGGTTTTCTTCGTATTTGCCCAAAATTTCCTTTCAAAAAAAGGGCAACTATGGTCGATTTGAACTATTTTTTAACCGTAGACCCATCGAGGCGATATCGGAAGCATTTCTAATTAAAGTTTTGGCGAATTTCGTGCCGCCGCAAAATCGATAGTTATCTCCGTGGTTACACAAATTCTAATTTCTATTTTAAAATTCGCACATCGCGCGCACGACGCCAGCGGGTTTTTGGAGAGAACTGGGATTTTCTGAGTGCATCAAACACGTGGGCAACTTTCCGTGCCGATGCAATTTCATACTCGATGTGGAATTTTGTTATTGCGTCAGCAATCGTACCACTAACGTCAACGTTTTTGTTACGAGACCTTGGTGACGCAAAACCTTACATTATCAAGTTTGTAAGCGAATCCCTCAATTTAGGATTAACCAGTTGCAAAATTATAGTACAACCATTTTCGTTCGAATCTATTTTAAAAATTTTCAGCTTAGCTAGTCCAAAGGTCAAAATGTAAATATTTCACCTTGTAATAGCCGTACCTTGCTTAAACACAAAGGAACCACGTGGCGCAATTGCTTTGGGCTTTCTTAAAATTTGTTCTCCAATGGTGATCATTAATCGGTTATTTTTTTGTTTCAGAACTTCCCGCGGAAGAGGGTAAGTACTGCTACTGTAACTGGATTTTACCCAAAGAGAACATGTAAGTAACTATTAATTGACGGATAAACGTGCTTGAGGGAGAAATACCCTGCCCTATATGCAAAGTCGAGCGGTACATGCTAATGAATGAGGCCAAGTATCTTGACATAAATTCTCTTTCCACTGCAGAAGCTTTGATCCGCGAAGGGTCGAGTGGAAATCGAGTGTTGGCACCAGTTGCGAAATTGCAAACTAAGGAAGTAAGAAATTTGAAACTAATACGCCGAGAACGCTGAGAAACGAGTGGCATGAAAATTTATATTTCATTTGGAAAGCCTCCACGTTCATAATTTAAAATTCCGCCAAGTTCGCACTTGTTTCTTAATTGTGCCACTTAATTTAATATCAGGCCCAGTTGAAAAATTGAGGAAAGAATGTAATTGTGTTTTCTACATAGACTGAAGTCGAGGGTTTACTCTTAAACACCTATTATTATCTCCAATCGTTTATTAGAGATTAATTTTTCGGCTCGGACACTGCTCGTTTTTCAAACTATGATTTAGTCATTTAGTGAATACATTTTTTTTTGGGAAGGGCATCCTCTCAATTAGATTCGTCCCTAATCTCTGCGTCTCAGTTTTCATGCTCAAAGTCTAAATACCTCGCTTGTTTCTACTGATATTTAAATTGCCTGAAGAAGTAAGTACGAGGGTAAGTATTAACTCCAGAATCTTTGTCTTTAGAGCGTACCATAATTATAATTCTATTTTTTAAAAATTGGCAATCTCCCAAACCTTCGGTACGATTTCTTTCCGTCTTGCAGTATTAAGAATTTTAAGTAACCCCTTAGTTCTAAACTTTTGAGCATTTCTGTCGTGGTAAGGTCATACCCTTTGGTCCAAACAAAAAAATTTGGGAATAGCTCCCTAGGTAAAACCAAGAATCTCGCTTTTGGAAGAGTGTCTTAAAAAAATGGCAAGTGTATTAAAGTTTATTATTTTGAGATGTAGAATTTCCGCAATTATCGACTGTTTCAAGATATATTGGTCACTCTGTATATCAATTAATTAAGTGACATTCAAATATAAGATTACGGAACTAGTAGTCGCAAAGTTTACAGCAACTCATAAAAGACGCTAGACTCCAATTCCCCCCGTGTACACCTTCTATGGACACTTTTTTGAGAATCTGAATCTGAATTCCTACAGCACACTAGATGTAGAAGCGACATGCTACTACTTTCTTGTTCCTTATTTGCTACATATTGGATTTTTATTCAACTGTGTACATAGATACAGACGGGAAACATTTTTATTCTCTAAAACCTGCTTAAAATGATCTAAAACTTAGATATTTGATGAAATTTTGACATTTCTAAATACCGGTCAAGCTAGGACGGTAAACGTTTCCCATTACATTAATTTCAATTCAGTACTTTAACTATGGTCGTAAATTTAGTAGATCATATCTAAAATTTGCAAAATATACAAATCCGAATTTAATTAATTATTGTTCATTTTAACATTTAGTTTGTTCCCATTGTTGATTTGGAATAATTCATTAAACAGTTGTGTGGTAGAGGACACCAGTCCCAACATTTTTTCCTGAATAAACTAAGGGCTCAAAGTGTTCACTTGGCATTTACGCTTAATAAATAGAGTGAATTTTTTTAGAGGTTCATAAATTAAACCTGCGCTACTGTTCACTAGGAACATTGGCTGGTGGTGGCGATAAAAATCTACGTGCTATTGGTGGTAATAGTTGTGGTTATGCATGGTAACGCTAGGCGGCTCCACTTATCTATTTCTTATTGTCGCCACATCTGCATCAGCATGTATATCCGCACTGACAACTGCTAATGTGGATGCCAATGTCCAATATCGATGCGGAAGTTCCGCAATTGCGGATGCGGATGCGAATATCCGCAACATCACTGGTTGACATCCAACCATACAATCTAATCAACGGCCTTCGTCGAGGGGTTTGTCGCGACGTATTTGGGGGGACAAATATTACCTTCATTGCCTAAAAATTGCCACCGTTAATTTCCCGAAAATTTCTAGCATTGCCTCAAATTTACACAAAATTCCTCCGAATTAACGTGAAATTTCCTCTAGATTTCTCAGAAATTTCCTCTGAATTTCCTTTTACCTCCTCAAAATGTTCTTAGAATTTTTTGAAATTTCTTTTTAATATTTCTCCAGAATTTCCTTTAATTTCGTCCATTTCCTACAATTTTTCTCAATTTCCGCAAAATTTCTAGCATTGCCTTAAATTTCCCCAAATGTACATAAAACTTCTCCGAATTAACGTGAAATGAGAAAGGTTACTTCCTTATACCTTTGATTCCTTAAAATGTTCTGTATATTTCCTAACAGTTTCCTCTAGATTTTCTCAGAATTTCCTCTTTTTTTTGTTTCCTGAAAATTTTCAAATATTTTCCTAGGAAATCTTTGAAATTTCCTCGTATTTTCCCAAAATTTCCTAATAAAAGCCTCTAATTTCGTCTAGTTCCTACATATTTCGCAGCTATTTCTTCGAAATTTTCTATATGAGAGACAAGAGTTACCATCGGGGTCAGTCACGACTTATTTTGGAGATAAAGATTTCTTTCATTGCCTAAAAATTGCCTCAATTTCATTTAATTTTTTTAACATTTCTAGAATTTTCTAAAATTTCTCCAAATTTACACAAAACTTCTCCGCATTAACGTGAAATGGGTAACGATATTTCCCCATAGATATCTTTGATTCCTTCAAATTTCCTCTATTTTTCCTAAGAATGTCCTCCGATTTTTTTCTTATTTCCTGAAAATTTCCATATATTTTGCCAGAACTCCTTTGAAATTTCCTCTTATTTCCCCAAAATTTCCTAGTAATCTCCTCTAAATTCGTCCGTTTCTTATATATTTCCCAGCTATTCCCTCTAAATTTTCTATATGAAGGACATGAATTACCCTGGGGTTGATCACGACTTATTTTAAGGGCAAAGATTTGCTTCATTGGCTAAAAATTGCAACATTTCCTTTAATTTCGTCAACATTTCTAGCATTTCCTTAAATTTACACAAAATTTCTCTGAATTAATGTGAAGTGAAGGTTTTTGGTCTCTTGTAATTGTTTCGTATCTGTGACCGTTATTGAGAAAACAATTTTCTTTAGTTATATAGCTAAATGAAAGTATAATTTTTAAAATGATCCAGTAGGCCCTGATTTTATTTGGATATTTTGTTTTCATTAGTTTTGTCAGTTGCCATTGAAAATTGTATCTTGTGTTTGCATCTGTTTATAAATTGAAGTTTTAAATTAACTAAAACACCCTGTAGATTGGTAATGAAGCGTTTGTGTTTATATGAACTTTAAGTCATAAAATAAGCCAAAAAATTAGCTCCTTCCAAAGCGTTCCCTATTTAATCATATTTAGGGACGCCCTATATTTTTAATTTAAAATTTATACGCGGAAGTAGTGATTGTGGCTGCGAAATCAAAGGTTCGAAGTTCTCAAATTTTAAATATTTCTGGCAGCTCACTTCAATTCTTTCATGGTCGACTCTGATTTAGAACTGTTGCGATAACAATAAAGCGACCAATTATAGTTCGCACGTTCGATCGATAGTTTATTTAAGGTTATAAGAAGCAATATTAAACGTGTGGTGCCTCATTAATTATTCAGAATAACGCAAGTTATAATTGTTTGGTTAGTAATTCAATCAGATCATATTTTGTCAGGAAAGTTTGGAGTGATTTTAATGTTTTCCATTTTATATGATTTTTTTGATTTCGAATATAAAGATGACAAAATTTTGTGATAACAATCGACTTTTGAAAGTAAAACAGCTATGAAATCCCTACACTGTCTACTATAATATTTGTCTTAAACATTTTTCAATTTTTTTTCTAAAATGCCCCCCCCCTCGCAGGATAGATTGCTAAAAAATGTTTAGGACCAATGTTGTAGCAGATAGTGTAGGGATTTTAGAAATGTTTTATCTTCAAAAATCGATGGGTCAAAAAATGTTTTTTTGAAATTTTTGATCGATCGCTATTTTATTATTTGAAAAAATAAAAAATAATTGCGAATAAATGTTTTGAGAGCTGAAAGTTATTTTTGAAAATTTTTATTTTTTTTCAATAGACCTTACAATAAGGGAAGATTTTTCAAAAAACAAAAGAACGCCGATAACTTCGAACCGAGGCACTAAATCAAAATTTGGAACTAAAACTAAGACAAGTTGTTTGTTTTAATGAGTTCTAACTGCCGTTTTCGGGCGTAACAACTTGGTATTAACACCTTGTATAACTCGAAAATGTTTCTTAAATGATCGCCATATTCAAAACAAAAGTCCATAAAATTTCATACAAAGTTCACCGTAAATTTTGTATTCTCACCACGTTCGGGCATTTAGTTGAAAATTGGCGTATATCGTGTGTGCCACCAAAACCTCCTTTTTTATTCCAGAATCATACAGAGTCTTGCAACAGTGTATCGGTCTTTCGTAGCTCATACCTCATAAAACTATTGTGAAAACTATTGAATAACCTAAAAACTACGGAGTTTAACACTGGACATCCCTTATCAAAATTGAAGAGAACACAACAGACTATCGAATATCCATATAAAATAGTGGTAGTTATGGCACTTTGAAATTCGGAAACTACCATTTCCTTGTGGACACCCGGTATCACTAAATCCAACTTTCTCATTATCAAAGTGTAACCAGGATGTTCTACTCACAAAAAATTTATTACTGATACCGTAAAAATATGACACCCTCTACATTCAAAAATAATGTCTTAAAGTAATGGTGGCTGCCTTCATATTTTAAAGAATCCTTGTACTTTTAAATGGAGCAAAAGTTAAATTTCCGGAAGCGGTTCATCGTCACGATGATTAACGTAAGTATGGTAAATGTTTTCGTATGTAACGTGTGGGATTATGTTTTCACGATCACCTACTCGCGTTAATTGGAGCCAGTGAAAAATGTTTGACTGAAAACATGCTAACGGTGTCATCTGCTCGTTAATTGTTGGATATTTTTACCCGTAATCCCCCGTAACATTAAACGTTTCGTGCAAATGTTACGTTTTCCTCGAGTTTCCGTGAATATAAACAGTTTCTTACATCGACTTCAACTTTAGTTTTTTTTATCAACCGGAAATCGCCGTATTTAGTGAAAGCGAGGAAAAATAAAGTTTGGAGAGCTTTTCGTCGATATTGAACTGAAACTTGTTGAGGAAGAGGTTTTTTTTTTCATTTATCAGTCGGTCAAATTGCAGTCGCTTCTTCAACAACGTGTCAATTAAAGAGGTTTAATGAAAAAATTCCACGTACACTCATTTGAATTGAATTGGACCAAATGAGGAAATGTTAGCGGCAATTTCCGTAGCTTTATCCTTTGATATTCAGAAAGTTTTCGGTTATGAGGAAAGCAATTTACATGTTTTTCCGAGGGGCATGTAATCTACATGTCTCCTTTAAAAGGGCGAATATAGTGGAGGTTTGCTTTCAGCTAGTTATACAATAGTTCTAGTGATATAATAGATAACTGTGTTGAATATTGCCATCCCAACTCACTATGCGATTGTTTGCTTTAGACAAACATTGACTTTTGCTCTGAGAATTGTGTTAACAAATACAGAGAAATAACCGCGTTACCTTTCCATTTGGAAATTATTTTCGATAGGACTGAACGTTTATTGTTGTCGTTCAGCCATTGCATTTAAAGACCTATTTCCATTGTGGAATAGTAGAAATCATTATGATCTGATTCGTCAAATTAACGCTCATTTCGATTCATTTCACAGCCTATGTTTTTGTCCGGTCGATACTGCTATGTTATGTAGGGTATATAGGGTGTAAAGACTCAAAGGATCCTGTATACGAAATTTCTTCCTCATCGTATCACGTACAGTACAGTGACTCAATTTAGAAGTATCACGTAAAGTCATTAAATATAGAAAGTACCGCAATCCATTGGGCTCGTGTGTTAGAGAGAGAAGGCATGATTTTTGCCCAAAAATGGCGGAAGTTACCAGATTCTAGTAACTTTAATGTTAGATTTTTATAAAACATGACAGTACTATGAAGTTAGGTTATAAAAAATTACAGCTATTCAGATTTTATTTGTCAATTTTTTTAAGTTGGCTGCAAATTTGCCCAAAAATGGCGGATGATTGCGGTACTTTCTATATCTAGTGACTTTAGTATCACGTAAAGTCACTAAATATAGAAAGTACCGCAATCCATTGGGCTCGTGTGTTAGAGAGAGAACGCATGATTTTTGCCCAAAAATGGCGAAAGTTACCAGATTCTAGTAACTTTAATGTTAGGGATTGTTCCATCTGTTTGGAGATGTCTGTACCTGTATATTTTTATAAAACATGACAGTACTATGAAGTTAGGTTAGAAAAAATGACAGCTATTCAGATTTTATTTGTCAATTTTTTTAAGTTGGCAGCAAATTTGCCCAAAAATGGCGGATGATTGCGGTACTTTCTATATCTAGTGACTTTAGTATCACGTATAATAGCGCGCCATCTTGGGGTCAAACGTTTACACAATAAGAGAGCATATTCCTAGAGCTGATTTGTACATTTATCATGGGGAGGGGTAGTTTTCGCCCTTTTCATTCCGTTCACACAATAGATGCTTCAACTGTAATCGGAGAAGCACAAGAAATTAAACGATCACTCCCCCAAGCTGCGAACATTGGTGGAATTTTACTTACTTACATCCGAATTTTTTACTATTTTGGTTTCATCTAAAGAGATCAGCTACCAAGGTTTACTTTACATAATATTTCACAACGTAGAAAAGCATCGTATTACGATAGTCAAATGAGGCCATTATAAACGCCGAGTAGAAAGAGTTTTGAATAAATCATACAAACGACCATCCATGAAATGGCTCTGTAATTTATGGGCACATTTATTATTTCCTCCTTGTTTTCTCTGGTATCCGATTCATTCAGTTGATTGCGTAATAATGCCTAATGTTAATTGAAGCTACAAATTTGCATACTATTCGACTAGGCCTTACGAATGAACGAAATTTGAAGTTTCCGCGTGAGAAAGGCGTCCGCCACGTGCCTATAATGGAATTTTAATCGAGACCCTTCAAAATCAGACGCGTAGGACTGTTCTTACATGTTCTCAATTGGTACACTCTGATAAGATTAGTGTTAAGTAAATTTGCATTAGCGGCTCTTTGTGCTATAAGAAACTTAATAATTTATTTGTTTCAGGAAAATCGATATGGCAATTAGTTTTAGAACAATTCGACGATCTTCTAGTAAAGATTTTATTATTAGCCGCAATAATTTCATTTGTAAGTATAGTGCGATGCGTTTTACTGCCGCTTTTATTTAGGCCGTTTGATTAGAGAACCTCTGTATATTTAGCCGCTTAATTATTTTACCGCTTCCTTTCATTCCAGACGCTCGTTCGATATTCACTATCGAAGCTTTTATGATAATCGCTGTTATTAAAATACAAGTGCTTTAATAAGTAAAATGCCCACGCCGCATCCACTCGCTAAATTATATTCTAATATTAGTTGCGTTAACAGGTTCTTGCGTTATTTGAAGAACATGATGGAGCATTCAGTGCATTCGTAGAGCCTTTCGTTATTCTTCTTATCTTAATTGCAAACGCGGTGGTAGGTGTTTGGCAGGTAAGTTCGCGTGGTTAACGCTAGGGCAAGGTTTTAACACTGATTGCGCAGGAACGAAATGCCGAGTCGGCCATCGAAGCGCTCAAAGAGTACGAGCCGGAAATGGGCAAAGTACTCAGAGGGGATAAATCGGGCGTACAGAAAATTCGCGCGAAAGAAATAGTACCGGGAGACATCGTCGAGATTTCCGTCGGAGACAAAATCCCAGCCGATATTCGTATCATCAAGATCTACTCCACAACGCTTAGGATCGATCAGTCGATCTTAACTGGAGAGTCCGTCTCCGTAATTAAGCACACAGATCCCATACCCGATCCACGTGCTGTAAACCAAGATAAGAAAAACATTCTCTTCTCCGGTACAAACGTCGCCGCGGGCAAAGCGAGGGGTCTCGTCATTGGTACCGGTTTAAACACTGCCATTGGTAAAATCCGTACCGAAATGTCCGAAACCGAAGAAATCAAAACTCCTCTCCAGCAAAAGCTTGACGAATTTGGCGAACAGCTCTCCAAAGTTATCTCAGTTATTTGCGTTGCCGTATGGGCCATCAACATTGGACACTTCAACGACCCCGCTCACGGCGGTTCCTGGATCAAGGGCGCTATTTACTACTTCAAAATCGCCGTAGCTTTAGCCGTCGCCGCCATCCCCGAAGGTCTACCCGCCGTAATCACTACCTGTCTCGCGTTGGGCACGCGGCGTATGGCCAAGAAGAACGCCATTGTACGATCCCTGCCTTCCGTCGAAACCTTGGGTTGCACATCTGTCATTTGCTCAGACAAAACCGGTACCTTAACCACGAACCAAATGTCGGTATCTCGCATGTTCGTCTTCGATAAAGTGGAAGGTAGCGACAGTAGCTTCCACGAGTTCGAAATTACAGGTTCAACCTACGAGCCTATCGGCGACGTATTCCTAAAGGGCCAGAAAGTGAAAGGCGCAGATTTCGAGATCCTTCACGAACTGGGCACCATTTGCATAATGTGCAATGACTCCGCCATCGATTTTAACGAATTCAAGCAGGCGTTCGAAAAGGTCGGCGAAGCCACCGAAACCGCTTTGATCGTCTTGGCCGAAAAAGTTAATCCGTTCGGTGTAACGAAGAGCGGCGACCGACGCGCCGCCGCAATCATTTGCAGGCAAGACATGGAGACGAAATGGAAGAAAGAATTTACTCTGGAATTCTCGCGCGATCGTAAATCGATGTCGTCCTACTGCGTCCCACTCAAACCCACCAAGTTGGGCAACGGGCCCAAGCTGTTTGTCAAAGGCGCAACCGAAGGTGTTCTTGAAAGATGCACGCATGCTCGTGTCGGTTCACAAAAGGTCCCACTTACCTCGACCCTTAAAAGCCGCATTCTCGATCTCACGCGACAGTACGGTACTGGACGCGATACTCTACGTTGTTTGGCATTGGCCACTGCCGATAACCCACTCAAACCCGAAGAAATGGATCTGGGAGACTCTAGCAAATTCTATACTTACGAAGTGAATCTCACGTTTGTCGGCGTCGTCGGCATGTTGGATCCCCCACGCAAAGAAGTAGCGGATTCGATTGCGCGCTGTCGTGCTGCCGGTATTCGAGTTATCGTTATCACCGGCGATAACAAGGCGACAGCCGAAGCCATCTGCAGGCGAATTGGTGTATTCGGCGAGGACGAGGATAGCACCGGAAAGTCGTACTCTGGACGCGAATTTGACGACCTACCTGCTTCGGAACAGAAGGCAGCATGCGCTCGCGCCCGATTGTTCTCTCGCGTGGAGCCCGCTCACAAGTCCAAGATTGTTGAATACCTTCAGAGTATGAACGAAATTTCTGCTATGGTAAGTGGGTACATACAGGGACACGGTCAACTCGCCAAGGGCGACTCGCCACCGGACCACTCGCCACCGACCGACTAGCCAATGGGACAACTCACCAACGCGACAACTCGCCAACGAAATATTTTTCCCTGTTTAATGTGTCATACAAATGCATCCCACAAATGCAATAGTCAATTTCCCTAATTTTGTAAAAAAAAGTTTATCGAAAAATTGTAGTCAATATTTGAATGAAGACCCAACCGCCTATACCTGTTTCTATTACTGCATTTTGATATAACGACATCTTCTGCAAATTATTATTTGAACAGAAAATTTGACAATCACATCGTTATTTGAACGACACATTAAACAGGGAAAAATATTTCGTTGGCGAGTTGTCGCGGTGGCGAGTTGTCCCGTTGGCGAGTTGTCACGTTGGCGAGTTGTCCCGTTGGCGAGGTCAGTGGGTGGCGAGTCGCCCTTGGCGAGTTGACGCGTACCAGTACATACAGGGGGGGTCATGACATATAGACACAAAATTTCGAAACACCTTTGGCCCGCACCGTTTGTTTTTAATTCCAAGATCTTTTTAGACTGGTGACGGTGTAAATGACGCTCCAGCGTTGAAGAAGGCAGAAATTGGTATCGCTATGGGTTCCGGAACCGCAGTCGCGAAATCCGCGTCTGAGATGGTCTTGGCCGACGACAATTTCTCATCGATCGTCGCGGCCGTCGAGGAGGGTCGCGCCATTTACAACAACATGAAGCAGTTCATCCGTTACTTGATTTCGTCCAACATCGGCGAGGTCGTCTCCATCTTCTTGACGGCCGCCTTAGGTCTTCCCGAGGCTTTGATTCCGGTACAATTGCTTTGGGTTAATCTGGTCACTGACGGATTACCCGCCACCGCTCTCGGTTTCAATCCTCCAGATTTGGACATCATGAACAAACCCCCGCGTAAAGCCGACGAGGGTCTGATCTCCGGATGGCTGTTCTTCCGTTACATGGCTATTGGTGGATACGTAGGCGCCGCTACTGTCGGTGCGGCCGCTTGGTGGTACATGTTTGCGGACAATGGGCCTCAAATGTCTTACTATCAATTAGTATGTATTTAAACAAAAGTGTTAGGTGCCACCAACCAACATGTCATTTTAGACGCATCACTTGTCCTGCATCACCACCGCGGAGGACTTCAAGGGAATTGATTGCAAGGTATTTGACGATCCGCATCCCATGACGATGGCTCTCTCAGTACTCGTAACCATTGAAATGTTGAATGCTATGAATAGGTAAGGGGTACTTTTGGCGAAATTGGGGAAAGATTCGAACCTTATCGTAAAATTCACTACTTTAAGATGTGCGCTTTTGACATTTTGTAAGAATTATGGTGTTTATACTGCATTCATTATAAGAGGGCAGTAGTACTGACTCGTGTTTCAACCAATCACAGTAAAGGTCAAAGCTTTCACGTGCTTTCTATCGCTACCTTCTTAAAATGAATAAAGTATAGTTTATCAAAAAAGACGCTTATCCACTGCCATAAGCATCTGCTATTGTAGATCGACCTTGCAAATTTTTTCAAAGAAGACGTTTTGATTTTAGCAGGCCATGGAACAATTTAAACTTCATGGCTGCCATCTGTAGTGAATATCTTTTTTGCATACAAATCTACAAAGTTATATATTAGACAACATGCTAGAGGCATATTCAAAAAGTAAAGTTTTCACATTTTTTTTAATCATTTTTTTACTTTCACAAAAAATTCTAATATATGCTCTCTTTCCTATATTGCACCTTAAATTACCAAATATGAAAGACTATTTTCCATTTGTCATCAGACCGTATTAATCATAAGAAAAAAGATGCTTATCCACGTCCATATACATGAATCATTTTTTATCAGCTGCTTATACTACGCGATCAAAAATCAGTTGCTGTCTAGTCATTTTTGGAATTTTTGTTTACATGAGACATCATACTTAACTTGAACTTTTAAATGCGACTCAACCGCCATAGTACGTCGGGTACATGGCTAGAATGGGGAAAATACTGCACTTTTTGATTGGAATATGACACTATCTGTGGTAATACTTAATACCAAAAGGCAACTTTTGAGATAGGGAGCCACTCGAAAATCCATGCAGGAAATCAAAATCGTAACCGTCAAAATGGCGCCATTAGCCGCAATATATTTTTTTTGTATCTCTGTTCCTAATGGTCCGATTTTAATTTTCTTTTTTTTTTATTGAAAGCTCTTATGACGAGGAAACTTTTTTGCTATATAACATTTATCTCTAAAACTTAAGGATTTAGCACAATTTTAAAAAAGTGTTTTTTTACGAATTTGAATCACAAGTAAGCTCTTAATTGTGCAATATCCCGGTCTTTTCGACAAAAAAGGCCGTCGTTTAGAAATTCAATCGATTCAACCCCAAAACTCTTTGTTTCTACCCTGCAAGTTCGGAAAACTTCAATCCGCCATGTTTTTTTTTTTTTTTAAAAATGCGCAACATTTGTTTCATCAGGCACGAGATCAGGCAGTATGAAAATTGAAAGGAAAAGCCTCGTCAATTTTTTTCTCTGAAAAACAGAAAATACACTCTGCTTTTAAAGTAATTAAAGAAACACTCAGTATATCAACTTTAACTCTTACTCTCGCTGTTACTTATCCTATTTTATTTAACTAGTTGGTTTAAGCTACGACGAATGTGAAATTTGGAGGGCTTATTTAACAGATCATGGGTTTTTTCGAGGGTTTTCTCTCGGGTTCTCTTTAAGAATATTAACGGAATATTAAGATTTCCAAGTTTTAGATACCTATTCATATAAGTTGAATCATTTTTATTATACAGGGAGTCCATCTTCTGTAAGCGGACGATAGAGCCTCAATAATAATAATAATAATAAAGTTTATTATCCCCACAGTGATAACACCAATTATAGGGCAATATTAGTGACAACAGTCCGAGACAATAGCAGTATTAACATACTTAAGTGACAGATGACAAAAGACAGTAAAGAACATGTCCTTAGTTGTTAAAGTGATTAATTACGTTCTTCAAAAACTGGCCATAGCTATCATTAAATATATCCACATTTATATTACAAGATAATAGTTCAATAGCTCAATAGTTAAGATTAATGGTAACGGTTTGTTGGTACGAGAAGCCTGAGGGGAAGCCTAAAACGTGTTTTTAGGTATACAGGGTGTTTTTGGGGCCAGCCTATACATTTTGATACTTCTATATGTATCCCCGGGTATCCCTTAACAAAAGAATTATTTTTGTAGGTCTTATATCGGTTTTTTTCGCAATGCTAACCGCGAGTCTAACCGTTTTCCGGATATGCTTTTTATACAGGGTGAAAATTTTATCTTCAAAACATTTTTTAAAGAAGCTTTTTATGACATCCATAATTATAAAAAGTTTGCTACCAATCCACGTACATTCAATTTGGTGTCAGCAAGCATACTTCTGCACGGTCAAAGGGGGCATACTGTTTTTAAATAGCAACCACTATTTTCTTGTCGATACAAATTGATACAATAAAACTCGTTTTTCAAATAATTGAATTTTAATATTTCTTTAGCTAATCGACTTCGAATCGTATAGACCGATTCATCATCAGACCTTAAGAGTTAGAAAATTGTGCTGAATAATACAAATCCTTACATATTAACATTTGACGTGGACAAGTTACACATAAAAATCGGGTTGAGCTTACTTGTGATTCAAATTCGTAAAGAAACCCCGTTTTTAAAATTGTGCTAAATTCTAAGTTTTAGAGATAGATTTTATATAGCAAAAAAGTTTCCTCGTCACAAGATCTTTCAATAAAAAAAAAGAAAATTAAAATCGGACTATTAGGAGCGCCATTTTGACGGCCACCATTTTGGTTTCCTGCACGGATTTTCGAGTGGCTCCCTATCTCAAAAGGTATTAACTATTACCACAGAAAGTGGCATATTCTAATCAAAAAGTGCAGTTTTTTTTGGCGTACCCAAGGTACTACCACTCATTTGTGGTCACCCGTTATTTCCATCAAATAATTACTTAAGTAACTATATTGATCTGAAAATTCAAAAGAACCAAACCGGCACGGAGAGGACCAAACTTAAACGAAGAGTAGCGACATCTTAAAGTAGTTTGAAGGTGTTAAAATCGCAAAAGGGCTTTTAATCTTGTCCCATTTTCATGGATCTCTTTCATCTGGATTTTTTTTCACATTTTGTTTACAGTTTATCAGAAAATCAGTCGCTATTAGTCATGCCGCCGTGGTGTAATTATTGGTTGTTAGGTTCCATGGTATTATCGTTTACTCTCCACTTCGTTATTTTGTACATTGACGTCCTATCGGTACGAGGAACTGCCGGTTGCGTTCGCCAGAATTAATGATATGTTTACAGGCTGTATTCCAAGTGTGTCCTCTTACAGTGGAAGAATGGGTGGTGGTAATGAAATTTTCGATACCAGTGATATTACTAGATGAATCATTGAAGTTTGTCGCGAGAAAGATTACGGATGGTGAGAATCCCATTTATACTGTGCACGGAATTGTTTTAATGTGGGCCATTTGGTTTGGTGTACTCGCTAAATGCCCTATTTAAGTGTAATGCCTCATAGGACGAGGCCGGCGGAGCGTGAGAAGTGGGTGCTAATATGAGTGACACGTAGCTAGCGAGTTCACAAACAGCAAATACTTTCTCTTCTATTTCATAATCAATCTTTCATTTCCTCTACTTTCACTGCCATTTAGTGTCACCAGGATGTACGATTAGATTCATAAGTAACAAAATTCAGTTTCTTTCGCTTTAGCTTTAAAAAGAATCATGTGAACATAGCATGAAAGAGTATCCCTTCGCTGCATTATTCTATCTGTGTAATTTGCAATTTTTTTATGTTTATTTATTTATGATATCAAGTGTATATTGAAATTTGCAGTAAAGGGATATTGCGAACTGAAAATCTAACCGCACCATGCTTGGTATGACGAAACCCACGCATGACATTGCACTAGAAAAAGATCAAAAGTAATGCATTGGCAATATCTTATTTAGAACCGTAAAATCCGATGGATTACGACACTCGGACATCCCGACTATAAGTAAAAATGCTGTGTGTAAACTGTGCTAGCCACTAATTAGGAAATTTTGTATCTAAACTATAATAGAACGCACCGCATAGACATTTTCGAATATATATCACAGCGGTAGGCTGCTTTTGTTGAAGGGCTGTGCTTTATATTCAAAAAAACTCATACGGACGATGCTCAAGTCGGAAAAAGGAAGTTGCATAAACAGGCAAGTTAGTGTGTCGCATGAAGACCTCAAAGTGTTGTGATTTTAATTAAAAAAAAACCCTCAAGTGCATGAGACAAGACTGATGGCGTAGTTGCAACGAACCCTTTAGTCTGTGTTGCAAATGTTCCATTTGTGTAGGTAATACAGTAGTTAACGAATCGATTATTTGGTCAGTTTTATTTTATCAATTTTTGTACTTATGGCAAAACCGATCAGATATTACGAATTCGAGTTAACTTGTTAATGTAAACTAACTTCGTGTATTACTCGTTAATTAACTACACTTGTTTCGTATAAGTGTAATTAAGTTTAGACAAACGTAATTAATTTCGGTAAAATCATATCGGTGGCAAATATTTAATTCTAATGGTGTACAAAGTAATTTTAATTCGTTACCGAGATCGCTTACGTCTGTTTAGACTGCAATTTGTCGATCCATGATACATTGACAAATGGTTTCCGAATTATTTATTAATTTATTTATTGTAGCAAATAGCTAACAATAGATACCAGTATGCGACATACAAGACATTAATGTCAAACAAATTATTTAAGTAGATCAATTTCTAATTTATATCAAATTATTTATACGCCTTTGTCCGGTGTTTGTAGAAAGAAACGATTTTGTGAAACTGTTTGTCCATTTTTTGCTGTAATCTCTAGTTTTGTATATATTTATATTGGGCAAGTGTTACGAAAACTAATAAAGTTATGGACATTTTTATTCATAATTGGATTGGATGTGTTACCTGTTACTTTTATTTCAAGCTTGCGTTTTGTGTGTTGTGTTTATTTATATACTAAATGTTTAACATACAATTTTATTTAAACTGCCCTGCTAATCTTTATTACACTTACAATTTTTTTTAATGCAATAACATATTGAATTGTGATTATTAGTCATACCAACTTTCGGTACGAATTCAAGGCTGGTTGATATAATAATCATCGAGTTAATTTCCGTCCTTTATCTAAGGAGGATGCTTATCCATTCCCACACACATCTGTAATTCTAGATCAGTGTAGGTATCAGGTGCAATAGGTATTCATCATTGTTTATTGCCAATTAAAACATCATGAAAATTTAAAACATAGTTGTAAACTTGCGCACTTGTATTGCTAAAGGGATGTGGTAATTTATATCCATACTTAATTTTTTCCATCTGTACGGGGAGGTTTTTTACCATATTTATCTATTAAAATTTTCCAATTATTCAATCTCTTCCACACAAATAGTAATTAACCATCACATACTTTTTATCTTCATCTCAGTTTTTCAAGTTTTCAAGTAAACAAATATGTCTTGCACAGTTTTCTTCATTAGCATTCCTTAATTTTTTTAGTTTAATTGGTTGACAAAGTTTGTGAAAGGTGTCCCGAATCAAGGGCCAACAAAGTTTCATATTTGTTATAAATAGTACAATGCTGCGATTAAATTATCCAATGGTAGAAATAATATTTCTAGTGGAGCTAAATAGATTTTCTTAATCTGCTTTTACTTCTCTAATGGATCAACTCTTCTGAACATCGATTTTTACCTTACCTTGGTCATTTATTTATTTTTATTTATTTATTATCCCTCTCTCGTTCTGGGTCCTCAACAGGCTTGCGCCCAATTAATGAGTGACCCGCATAATGCAACAATCAAAACATAATGTTGATATTGAGGCAGAATTAACCTACCCTTTTCTAACGCTTGATAATGATCATAATAATCCCTTTCAACCATGAAAGTATCATTTACAATGGAGCCCCCCCCCCCGCACCAGTGTTTTCCACAATCCAAAACACTACTACTAAATTTGCATGTGGTGTACCCCCACCCGCAATATTAACCAAAGTGTGTTCTCTCAAATTTTCATTTGTCTCCTGATAAAGTAAGTATAAGTGTGTCCGTTACCACCCGTATTCGATTTCAGCAATTTCAGTAAGTATCAATGTAAACATTATACGGAAAACGAATTTGAATTTGTTTGGATATGAATTTTAATCTGAGATTGTTTTGTTTTTCACAGTAACTCCAGTGCACTATAGAGAATAACGCCGTTGTATGACACGGTATAAGCCAATACTGAAGTACAAGCAGATGTGCAACCTGAAGATACCTACAAATAACAGTCAACCAGTTTTATAACAGTTTTCGATACATTTCTACTAACAAAGAAGTTGATTTTGTTTTCTAATACATTAGAATCTAGAAGCTTTGAGCACTAGAGATTCCTAGCCGACTGGGTTTTGCATTTATTTTTTGTTGCAGTTGGAGAAGAGGTTACTGATAGGTGGGAATAAATTTTCAACTTTATGCAGCATCTAACTCTTTTAACTATTCTGCATCAGATTTCCCATCATACAGAGCTTAATTTTCTATCTTTATAAGTTACTAGCCACTTGTAATTATATAAAACTTATTCTTTTATATAATTACAACTTGTAAATAGAAATACCAAAGTAAGTATAGAGGCTAAAATTTTTCAAAAAATTTTTTCGTATATTTTTTTGATCGCTTATTTTGCTGTTTCCATTCAATAGTTTAGAGATGTGTTGTTTTATTTCCTATTTGTCTCCCTTCCTCTCCTTCCATAAAAAAAGACCTGTGATTAAGTAATATTATGAATGACGAACTTGACAATGTAAAATCAACCCTACGTTGAGGTCAGCTCTGAACGGGCTTCAGGTATTTCCAACTAACAAAGAGGAAATAGCCTCGTCATTAAGTTCTGAGTGTTATCACAATACGTCTATTCATTTAGTTTTTAGAAACTTTTACACTTGCCACATGTGTGAAGTGGTATTTACATGTCATTATTAATATTTGTTATGCATAAAAATATGATATAGTTCGAGCTGGTCTCGACTGAAATGCGGTATATTAATATCAGAATACTGATGTACAGATTGTATCTATTTATTACACATCATTTTGTACACACAAAAATTTGTGTAAATAAAGGTTGCGACTGAGTAGTCGTTATATATAAGTTTCTGTATTGTCTTATTCTTTTTTTTTGAATAGGTCTATTGAAAACTTTTCAGGAACCTTCAATTTCTAGAGATTTACTACAATGGTTAGGTAGGTGTATTCAATGTATACTTAATATCCATATGCCTATTTTTGGCTCAAATTTTGCATTTATATTTGTACTGTGAACTTGATATAGTGAAGCACAAAATAATCTACCTTTTACCACAGATTGTTGATATCTCTGGTATTACTGATCGGATTCTTCAACAATTTGTCATTGTATTAAATAGTTTTTTAAACATTTAACTAGTATTGTGGCAACGCGCCGCTGCGTATCCGGCACCTAAACTAAAACGTGCTGCACTCTCATTGGTCAAAACTACTAACCGATGAGAGCGTGGCGTCCCTACCCTGAAAACCTTTAAAATCAGAGCTCCGCAACTGCTGCTTCGAGGGCGCTTCAAGAAACCTCGTCAGAAGACCCGCACAACCGCGCTAACTCGCCTGCCGCGTGCATTTTGGCTACCATATTGTAAATACCATGCGTTCAAAAAAGAGTTGCTGCCGAGTCACCTTTGGAATTTTTATTGACATGGCAAATCACATTTAACTTGAACTTCCAGAGGCGACTCGACGTCATTCCTTTTTTAATCGCCCGTTATTTTATCTAGCGTCGCACGCTACTGGTGAGTCGACTTGGATGATGGCTGCAACGTAAAACCCTGTAAAACCATCCTTTTCAGTACGAACACAGAGCATACAGTTGCATAAGAAAACAAGAACGAGAGCCACGTTCCGGTTTCGGCCAGGTAACCTATGATTGATACGGAACCGTTCTGGAAGAACAACCCCACCTGTGGTTCCACCAACTGGAGGCGGTTGTACACCCATCGACAATGATATATATTAAGACAGATACTTCGCACTGAAAAAGGGATGATGGCCTGCTTCACGGAGAGCGAGCAAAAACTTCTGATGGAAATTGAACTGGGCAACCTCAAACTGTCCCAATTACTTTTACAACTTTGTAACTTAGGAGGTCCACCCATCGGGGGCGCTACAAATACTGAGAATAGAGTCGGTCCCAGAACGCTACCTTGAGGAACACCATAATGTACTTCGGTTGCATATGATACACCATTGTTTATTTTTATCATTTGAGTTCGATTTGTCAATAGTTTATTCCATTTTGGTTTTTGTGTATTTTTTTAGTATTATTTCGTTTATTACGGAAATTCAACGTTCACTCAATGCATGAATAAGGCCCCAAAATTTTGGAAATTTTTGGATTCATTTTATTGATTTGTTGAAAATATAAAAATTAAATTAATTTACCTACACTTCTTTTATTTATTCTAGACATTCAAAACGTCCAATGACACACCCACTATCAAGTGCACATGATGCATTTTATTTCATTCTTGGAATTTATCCATTATTCTTTCTGGTTTTCTTTCTAATAAGTATGAACATTCAAAATGCGCAGCGTTTCAAAGTGCACATCACGATGCACAAAAGGATGCCATTTTCTTTCCTTCAGTAACGAAGCACCCGTTTTCAAGAATTATATCAGAATTAATGAACGCACCATATCTATACATTGATACTAATGGGAGAAGGTAAAAGTAATTGCTTTGATTTCTAGCGTTGTGGGTTAGCCAACGATAAGAAAAACCATCTGCCGAACATAATTGTGAAGTTTCTTATTGCTCCTGGTGGAGATATGTAAATTATTTTTGTAACGTCCGATAGCCCTCGGCGTGAACAAGTAGGGGAAAATTTAGTATTTTAGGTACTACCGCCCAAATTTACCCGCAAGATCCCTGGAGTTTTCCGTTTGTTCCGTATGTCTAGCCGTGGCTTCCGAAACCGATCCAAAACCGACGGCCGTCCTTAACCAGCAGCAAGGATCGACAAAGTCCTGGTGGCGCTCGAGATGCTGTACCTTTCCGCCAAGGCTATCGCACCGCTCCGTCCACTATCGCAGTTGAGTTGCGTAAAATCAAACTTAATAACATTGTGATTTGTTTTATGTAATTTTTCCACTGATTAAAAATTAATTTTTTCCAACTTATTGCATTGTTCATTTTTAGGAAAGTGCGCGTACTTCCCGGCTACTTAATTTTTATCTTCCTAGCGCGATCACCGTTTTTGGACATGATAAAATTTCATCAAATGTCAAAGTTTTAGATCATTTTAAGTAACTTTTAAAGAATTAAATTTTTTTCCGTCTGTATATATGTGCGTACGTTGGAAATTTTCCGAGGTAACGGCTCCACGGATTTTGTGCAAATTTTGTATATGTATATTAGGCATACTGAAGCGAAAAATAACCAGCCACATTTTTTTTTAAATGTTGGAGCGCCACAATTACATCGAATTTTTTTTTCCTAACGGCAACCTAAAATTTTTATTAAGTTATTCGAAAGACCTTATTTTTCTGTGTACAACCTACAAAAATTGTGCCAGGTTGTATTACAAAAAAACAGAAAAACATTTCAAAGTTAAAAAACAAAAAAATTACTTTCGTTAAAAATTTGCGAGTGTATAGGCATTATAAATTATGTAAAACTATCAAAAACTTTTTTTTAATATCTAAGTTTTTAGCGCCGTGACATAACACACCTTTTTTTTCAACTAACAAGGGAATATTTTTATTAAATATTCGAAAGACTTTCTTTTTTGTGTACAACCAAATTAGGTGATGTTTTATTATAAAAAAAGTGGAGAAAAAAAATTATCTAGAGGCTTAGTGCACGTTTATTATTTAGGATGAGCGATTACAGAAGTTCGCTCGGTGCCTTTTGGGGTTTTTTTAAAAGAAAAAAATGTTCTTTATGTAATGGTTTTGTTCGTCTGCCCGTCTGTTCCTCGCCTAATTCCAAAACGGTGTGAGACAGCGATGTCAAACTTTCGCCAATCGATTTTTATGAGTTCAACTATTGAATATGAGCCGGATCAAAAGTTTGGTTCCCGAATACGAACTGAGTGGGAAAAAATGTCCCTACTGAAATTCGCTAAAAAACGTATAAGTACAAATTCTTCCCTGAGAGTGATTTGTATTAATTACCTACATATGTTACAATTTGTAATAGAGAGCCTTAATTAATGCTTTAAAGATGTGTCTTGAATTTTATGGATTGTTTCTACCAATTTGCGATTATCGCTTTCCAGTTGCTTTATTGATGCTTTATTAATTATCAGTTGTTTCCTCATGTCAGCGACGGGGTCACCTGCAAATAAATGTCACTGTTAGAGTATAGCAAGTGGTAAAAGCTCAAGCACATTTCAGGATTCGGCACTATCCTACTACCCCAATTTTAAATGTGAACTGTGATGCGAGTTCGGGTAATTTTTAAATGCATTGATAAACCTAATTTTGGGAAGTAACATCGGATTTACATTTATTTGTATGTGAATTGAGGTTTTACTTATGTGCATAGGTATACACGGACGGATGGACGGAAATTACGCATAAAAGTTTTCAATGTACCTCTACTAAATATAACACATCATTTAGCTAATACTTTTTCCCAAAATGGCATGATGCTCACCATATTTATTTTATATATATTTTTACTGGGAAAACAAATTCTTCTAATAAAATCTGTCCTTCCGGTTAATTGGAAATAATACCCTTAGGGTTTATCCGTTTATCTAGCCTAAGCTCCAAAACAAAGTGGAGGGCACTCGATGGATTAAAAACATTCACAACTTTATTGGTACCTATAATATTTATTTTTAATTTAACCACCCTGAAAATATTGCACGCAATGAATTATAGGTACGCACCCGTAATTTCCGGCAGAGTTTGTCTAAGTGCTTTGGTCCTCTTATTCTGATTGATCCTTCTTTGATCAATAAAATCCTACAAAAATGTAGGGTATCAAACTACGGCAGTATTACTAGTATGTATACAAACCGCAACTCTGTCAGCTAAATTTTCCAAATTATGCGACCTTTTCTCAATTTGCAAATTAATCTTTTGTAATTTTTCGAAGGTGAATCGACACGCAATGTTAATTTCAACAATAGAACGTTTAAAATCCTCGAGTTTATCGCACGAGTCCAATTCAGCCCTAAGGGTTTTGTTCTCTGAATCCGTCTTTGCCAACATTTTCTTGCAAGAATTGATTTCTTCACTTAGATTAGCATTCTCTAGCTTGACAGATTTCAAGCTGGTTTTTAAAAGTTCGCAGTTAGTAGCACTCAGGGCTAGATCCGACGCTTGCGTCGAGACATGCTGTTCGCAAAATGCCAGTTCGTGCTCCAGCTGTGTATTACTCTGCCGAAGATCATTGATCGTTTTTGACAAAGAGTTATTTTTGAGCGTTTCTAAGGACAGTTTTTTAAGTAGACGTTAATGAGCTGTTGCAGGTACCATTCTTGGCCACGGTCTTGGACTGTTGTAGAGATTTATTAGTTTGCCTAATTATCTCTACCGAGTGTTTGTATTTGGTGTTTTTTGAGTCAAGTTTCGTACGCATTTTGATATTTTCGGCTTGCAGTGTCTCCAAGTGGCTCATTTGTGTCCGTATTTCTTCGATGATCGCTTGTGATACTTGTGTTAAACATCCATATTGAGACCTATCGTATATATCTTCTTTGAGAGTTTGCCTGGAGCAAAATAATACTAGTGACGGTCTTAAAATACTCAAAATTACCTTAACGCACTAAGAAGTGTACACCTTTTGTAATCCTGTAATTCATCCATTATGGATCTGACGCAAGTTATTGATACAGCACAGTTTTTGCAAGAAATTGGTTCAACTGGCGTTTGGGAATAGCGATCACACGACAGGGATGAGCTCGCATCAAATGAGGGCGGGTCAAATTTCGACTGTAATCAATTTTTTGAGCTTAACGACTGGTCAAAAAGCTCTACCCACCGTTTCTACAGATTTTAAACCTTCAAGTTTCTGCCACAGCAGTTTGCTCGCTCCTCCAAGTGATAAACTACTTGGCGCTTCCATGCTTTTGAATGGCGGCTGCTGGCATCTTTTATCCTCCAAAAACTTTGCCATTAAATTCACCATCAAATATAATCTTAAACTATAGCTTTATTTTCGAACTTATTGGACTGACACGTACTTATCGACAATGTATTCTAACAGTTTCAAATACTGATTGTCTCCTACCACTTTCGTGTCGATTTCTGTACATTTCTTTGTGGGAAATAACCACGATTTCAGTTGAAACTCGGGCAAATAACGCAAGAGTTGTAGATTGATTCCGTTTATACTTTTCAGGTCGTGCTTTAATGACAGTAGTAATATATTATTGACAGGATTCATTTCGAAAGCTAAACTTATGACTGTGTGGGCTCTTTAACGACAAAATTAATTCATTATTGCAATTATAATCGGGAAGTAGCTCGTTGCATACGATTTTGCACAACGAGTAAGGCAAGTATGCGCACTTTGTCCAACAGGACCCTTTACGGTTCGGGGGTGCGCAATTATGTGGTAGGAATTTTAGAAAAACCATGTGTAGAATTTCAGAATGTCCTTTCCAGAGCTATAGGCGAATCGGAAACTTTCCTTGAGAGCCGTGTAACCTATACCAGTTACCAGTTACCTACGAGTAGATAGTGTGACTATACAGGGGTGTTATTTTTTTTATTCAATCGGATTCAGCTCAGCTCGGATTCTTTCCCGCTAAATGCCATACATCTAGTCAGTCATGCATTTTTAGGGAAACTTTTCGAAAGAAAAAAAATTCCCCCTATGTTATGTTTTGTCTGTCTGTTCATCTGTTCCTCGTCAGAGCTGGGTAGTATTCGATTTTGTAAATACTTTTTAGTATTCAAATCCTTTAAAGTTTAAAGTATTCAAACACTTTGTAATTAAATACTTTTATGGAAGCAGTATTTGTATTTGTAACTCAAATACTTTCACAAATATTTAGTATTCGAGTACTTCGGAAAGTATTTGGATACTTCGTAAAGTTTTCGAATACTTCGCAAGGTATTTGAATACTTTGAGAAGTATTCGAATATTTCGCGTAGTATTTGAATACTTAACTTCCCAATCAAAAGGTTATAGACTAGAAACCAATTTCGAAAGAAAATTCAAATGGCTGTAACTTTTGAACTAGTAGCCCAATCTTGGAACTGTTTGAAATTATGGATTCTACAGGCCACATTCTATAAGAAAATTTTTTTTCCGGGTCGATCTGAGACAATTTTTTTTTTCGGGGCTCAAAAAAAGGCAGTGTATAACCTTCCCTTTTTACCAAAAATCGACTGCACCAAAATTTCTCGGGAAAACACTTTTTCTTATTAATTTTGGTGCGTAGAATCCAAAACAATTCGTGCTTTTTCGATTAGACCTCTCAATATAAAGTTATGTACAAAAAACAAATTTCGAAAAAAAATTCAAAGGGCTGTAACTTCTAGTAGCACAATCTTCAAATTGTTTGAAATTATGGATTCTACGGGCCAAATTCTATAAGAAAATGTTTTTTCCCGGTCGATCTCAGACATTTTTTTTCCGGCCTCAAAAAAGGCAGTACTTTTAAATTATTCAAATATTTGAGAACAATATGTTTAGGGAAAGTTTCCATTGTCACAAAATCAAATATAAAAATCCGATACAACTGAATACCGAACGATCCTGGAGTGAAACTTTTTGATTCGATAGTCTACGTAACTTAAAAACAATAGGGACCTTTCTTATATCCTTAAGACCATGTGTACCAATTTTCAAAGCGATGACACGTTTCTAAACAAACTATCATGCACACGGACAAACGGATGGTCAAAAATGGATCTGTTCCAAAATCGCTAGGATTAATTTCAGAAAGGCGTATGTATCATGTGCACGACCAAAGATCGGTGTAGTATGATCTTTGGCACGACGTACGATCGCTTTGAAAACTGGTACACGTATTCTTAAGGATATAACTGGTATATGAAAGGTCCTGGTAGGTACATACCTCCTATATAATAATATAATAATAATATTACGCTTTTATTCCCCTTAAATTTGTATATAACAATAGAAATATAAAAAAAGCTAACCCCATACAAAGTATAACTTGATTTTTAAGTAGTATTAAGACTTTTATCTAGTATACTATTTTAAATTTTTAATGTATTTGAGTGACAAGTATTTGAATACTTTTTACTGTATTCGAATACTTTTCAAAGTATTCGAATACTTTTTATAGTATTCGAATACCTTTGATAGTATTAGAATACTTTTGAAAGTATTTGAATACATTCTAAAGTATTTGAATACTTTTGAATGTATCTGTATCTAGTATTCGCTTGTGCTGGACGTAAAAGTATTTAGTATTCTAAATACCTTTGATTTGTGTAAAGTATTTACTATTTAGTATTCAAATACTTTTTGAAAGTATTCTGCCCAGCTCTGTTCCTCGTTTAACTCGAGAACGAAAAGAGACAGCTATATCAAACCTTCCATGAATCGATTTCTACGAGTTCAAGGAATATGAATATGAGCCGGATTAAAAGTCTGGTTTTCGAAAGCTGAGTGGTAGAAAATTTCCCCTACTGAAAATCGTATGCCATTCTTCGTATCTTGTTTCTATGTGCTACTGCGTAAATCCGCCACAGTATAGGCGTCGCTGATGCAAATAAAAGAGTGCACGTATTTCATTTTTTTACATTAAAGAGTCATTTAAACGGGCATTTATCTGCCATCTAAATTTGTAAAGAAGCACCGGAGAAACATCGCGAGAGCTAAACGGAAAAAAATGCAAAATTCGGTAATTTGTTATTTAAATGGGAGAGCATGCGGGCTGTACTCTAAGTAGGTTAAGCGAACTGTTTCAAGGATAATCTAAAATTAGTTAAAAAAGGGGCAACTTTTTAAACTTGTCGGGTTTGGAATGTAGATGTGGTGTCCTAAAAAATCAGAGTCCGAGACTTTTCCTCGCCTGGAAACGGCGGTATAACGTCAAGCAAAATTATTCACAGAAATATCGAAGGATATCAGAAAACATCCGCCGTGGTTTGGAATCCGGTGTATATTTAATCAGCGCTGTGGATACCTTACTGATAAAAGATTGGTATAAACATGTAACGTTTTTCTTATTTTTATAAATAAGTTTATTGTGTTGGATGGGGCGAAAAGCAAGGCTGTCCTTCGGTTTTCTGTTTTCATCGTTTCGTAGAAGGGGAAGCTCCCAACAGGAGCCAAGCGCGAAAGCTCATTCATACAGCGAAAAGCTTTCGTAGTAACTTGTTGTTCGGCATTGGTGCCTGGTGTGAAAATGCGAATCTATTTGTGCGCCTTTATAACTGTATTTACACTAAACGGGCTTTTTACCTTGGATTTCAGTTATCATAAATACGAGGAATTGACGAACATTTTAAAAAAATTCTCCCAATCATATCCCAAACTCTCTCCATCGCTGAAATCCATTGGTAACTCCAAAGAAGGTAAGTTCCTTTGGGGCGTTAAACAGTGTTGCAACCGGACATTTCAGGAAGAAGACTTTGGGTGCTTGAACTAACCGCTGTAAATAGATCAGCGGTAGGTGTTCCAAATGTGAAACTAATTGGAAATATACACGGAAATGAGGCCGTTGGAAGAGAACTTTTGTTGCATTTAATTGAGGTAATTGGAACAAAACTAAATTCGGTTGATATCTCCCGACGTTGTAGTACTTGGGGGAGAATTACGAATCCGATCCAACGGTGACGTGGATTATGAAAAATACCAGAATTTACATATTACCAAGCATGAATCCCGATGGATTTGAAAAGGCGAGTGAAGGCATGTGCGTCGGCGAACATGGGAGATGTAATGTGCGAAATATGGATCTGAACAGGAATTTTCCCGATTTTTACGTCGAAAATATGTATCCAACGCAGCCGGAGTCCGACGCAATTCAGCGATGGATGGATAAAATTCCGTTCATCTTGTCGGCTAGCCTGCATGGTGGTGCGCTGGTGGCCAATTATCCTTTTGATACCGTCAAGGAGTTGAGTAAGTTTGAAATTATTCAAGTTTATATACATGATATGATGTCATTGTGGTCAAAACAAACCACCAACAAACGAATTGGAATTTGGTAGCTTTGTTGTTGGTGCTCACACCTATATTATTCATTTTACATAAATTATACAATTTTGCACGGCAATAAAGTTAGAATGGAAAAGTGCCTTTCCCCCTCCCAAAAAAAATAGCGTGCTTGTTAGGATATATTGCTCAGAGAGCATATCAACATGCCAAAATGAAGCTTTTTGTTGATGTTGTATGAATAAAATCTTGCCGTGGTATTGTAGGTCCCCTCTGGGGATCAAAACGATTATTTTAAAGCCATTCTGGATTATACCTATAATCCAGCATTGCTGTTAGGTACAGGTACATTTAGTCCAGGCAATAAAGAACATATGAGGACCTTAGCTTGCAAAATTAATGTTAGTTCTGGAAATAGGCTTACTTTCTGCATTTTGGATTGCTGAATCCAAATTTTTCACTTCCCACCAAAAATTCTCCTAAACAATTCAATTGTTCTTTTCACTGGTCCACTTGAGGTCGTCTGCTACTTCCACTACGCCCTTTCATGTCCTTTTTATTTCTTCTTACTCTTTCATCTTTCCACGCTATGTTCCTCCGCGTTTCTTTTCCACTTCTTTTGCAAGTCTTTAACATTTCTTTCTTGTCACAACCACCACATTCAACAATAAATTACTTGTTGTACCTACTGCAAATCAGGCATTTTCATAATTGGCACAAATGAAAATTACCCCACTAGAGAATGGAATGAGTTATCAAATGGCGTATCACACGACCCATTTTTTGATGGGGGTAAGAGAAGAGGAAATATAATTGTTATCTATATTTTATTGTTAATTTTCCTTGTTAAAATAAGATGTCAACTTAAAATGCTTCCCTTTAAACAAATTTTTAATTGGAATCCCCTGCAGTATAATACACCAAAAATGCATAGGTACCTATAAATTTACATTCCGACTCAGATCTCCAAAGAGGGCATAGAATGTAAGAAGGCAAAATAATACTCTAAAATTTTACTCTAAAAACACTGTCCTGGTAGAAGACAGCCCTAGGTCTTAGATAAAAGGTATAGGACCTCGAGACCCTTCGAGTTCTAATTCATTCGTGTTCGCCCCTGCAATCCAGCCTTGACTATTGGAAGATATGGTCTCTTTTGAGGAATACTGCTGCCTCAATTTCCTGATTAAATTAAAGTTAGCATTTTTTGTTATCTCTTTTGACAGTTTGTTGCGTATAAAAGAAGACCTTTGTATATTCACGATGCCACAAAACCGCAATGCATGCCTTTTAAAAACCAAAACTTTAGATTACGTTTCCTTTGTCTTTGTATGTGACTAATAATTGCTGTTCACTAATAACGTTTTAGAATGGGAGAAATTGTTGCGGGAATTATCTGAGACAGATGATCCACTGGAGCAAGAAAGATTAAGATACCTTTACATAGGTATGCATTTACAGTTCTTCAGCATGGTGTCGGTATTGCCCTTTTAGTTTAGCATGGCTATTATGTTAGCAACGCTTACACGCTGCCGCGAGATGCTCATCATCGTTTTTGATTACAGCGTCATTGCCCACGAATCCGCCATCCATTTCGGCCGATGACGACGTCTTCGTAGACTTGGCGAAAGTTTACGCGAATCGACATCCCAAGATGCATTTGGGCTTAGCCTGTCCCGATGGTGGGAAAAACTTCACGGGGGGAATCACCAATGGAGCCGCGTGGTACCCATTTCAAGGTAGATGCGTGGAAAACTACGCGAAGGATATGTAAAAATTGTTTTTAGGCGGAATGCAAGATTTTAATTATTTCAAACATGGATGCATGGAGTTGACTTTGGAAATATCGTGCTGCAAATATCCATCTGCCAAAGAGTTGCCTCACTTATGGGAAGATAATAGAGAAGTAAGTGCCAAACTTAGAAACTACCATAACAATAATTTCCAGGCGCTGATAGAATACATAACACAAGCACACCGAGGAGTACGTGGCACTATTTACGATAGCCGAAACCAAAAACCGATAGCAAAGGCACGTTTGAAAGTTATCGGAAGGGAAATGACGTTTAATTCATCAAAACTGGGAGAATTCTGGAGAATCTTGTTACCGGGGAAGTACAGACTGGAGGTGGGTATTTGACGTCCTTTAATTCCAATTCAAAAAATTCTTTTAGATCACCGCCACCGGCTATCACTCCAACATTGTGCCGTTCGAAGTTATTGATCACAAAAACGCTCTTCCACAACCAACCGTCCTATCCATTCCATTGTACCATTCTTCGCTACCGAAACCGACGCCTCCACCTACAAAACCGACAACCCTGTTTCCTCCGCACTTTTTCACGTCGACGCATCCCCTCTTGCCCGCGCAAGATATAAAAAATTACAGCAAGGACATTCGAAGTCAAAATATTTACGATGATCCCGTAACGCTTCCAAGGCGAAACAGTATTAATTCAGTCAGTATGACTATTGCGAATGCATGGGTGATATACACCCTTGTTATACTAATGGTTATGTCTTGATATTATTAACGTCTAAGTAAGCCTGTAAATTTCGTGTACATAGCAATGTAAATATTTTTTTCAATCCAAAGATTTTAGCACTAAGTCTATGTAAGTGATTAAGCCTGTGTCGTTAGGTATAAGTATGTAACTGACGTATAATTTGCCAGTTTTTCTAATTTGTATGACTTGTGATGTGATTATTAGACTAATTAGTACCTATTGGTAATCTTTGAATTGCTCTGGAATGTGGACTTTGTAGGTACCTATATTACTTTATAATATCTTTAGCAAGGAGTTTCAATAATCAATAGATCTTAGGGTTCCAGCCTACGCAGGGTGGTACTTCGCAAAAGAAAAACAACCGCTCAGACAAGTGTTGTGTAACGCTTACCATACTTCCGTACATTTCATCCCTTACTGCTAGGGCCGCTGCCTCCGAATTTTTTAATCTGGGTAATTGGGCAAGTGAGAGGCTTTCCGTTCCTAACTTTGGAACGAATAATTATCACAATCGCTTTATAAACATAAAAGTTGTGAAGGAAAGGTCCACATTGAAGACTTTTTTAGCCCCATTTTCAGAGTTGCCACTTTTCCTTGCCTAGGAATGGCCAAGCGGTTTTCTTCAAATTCTTACAAGTGCCTCCAGGATTTTCTAATGCTTTTCTAGAGCATTCCTGTATCTTACCGGAACTGGTGGGGTTAATTCCGTACCTAACCCTCTAGGCCCTAGGTCCCTTTCTAAGCCTTTTCCAAGCTTTTTGTGGACTTTATAAAGCTAGACGATACTGGAAGGCTGTTGCAGTACCGTAATCTAGGAACCCGAGAGCTCTTAAGCTCTGAAAGTGCACTAACATAATCAGAAACATTAGACCGCTCTGTAAAGGCCCCAAAGGTCAATGCTCTTTGAAGGTACTCCATGAAACGCGTTTAAAAGGCGATTTCTCGAACTGACGGTTTATTAGGGCCTTTGTAAAGTTTTAAAGAGACTTTTAAACGATTGTTTAACTGAGCATACGAAGATTTTTATTTTCTCTTGATTCTATAAGCTCCCCCATATCCACTGGAATATGTCCATAGTTTTCTTGCCTTTCCAAAGTCACTTTGAACCAATTGTGTGTTAATAAGAGTCTTTCCAAAGTAATAAAAAGCGCCAAGTTTTGACATTCGAAGGTACAAAAATGACTAAAAATAGAAAAGTCATTAAGGTATTTTTTAAAGAAAAAGATTCATTGCCAATTGATTCCGCTTTATCGACTACAAATGAGGTATGTATGAAGTTTGGAAAAGATACTGTAGTGTTAGTATCCCAGACGTTGGGGCGCCAATAGACGCCATTAAGTCGATAAATGATTAGCCAACTGCGATAAGGTATGAAAGCGGATGTGAAGCATTCTTTCCTTGAAATCAGAGCTGGTCAGTATTCGATTTTGTAAATACTTTTTAGTATTCAAATCCTTTGTGTGACGTCTCAATGGCTGTGATGCACAGTTCCAAGAATAAAGATCTCATTATTATTATTATTTTTAAAATATTCAAATACTTTGTAATTAAATACTTTTATGGAAGCAGTATTTGTATTTGTAACTCAAATACTTTCACAAATATTTAGTATTCGAATACTTCGCATAGTATTTGAATACCTTCCTTTTTTACCAAAAATCGACTACTCCAAAATTTCTCGGGAAAACACTTTTTCTTATTAATTTTGGTGCGTAGAATCCAAAACAATTCGTACTTTTTCGATCAGACTTCTCAATAAAAAGTTATAGACCAGAAACCAAAATGTCGAAAAAAAAATGCAAAGTGCTGTAACTTTTGAACTTGTAGCCCAATCTTGGAACTGTTTAAAATTATGGATTCTACAGGCCACATTCTATAAGAAAATTTTTTTTCCGGGTCGATCCGAGACAATTTTTTCTTCGGGCCTCAAAAAAGGCAGTGTTTAACCTTCCTTTTTTACCAAAAATCGACTGCACCAAAATTTCTCGGGAAAACACTTTTTCTTATTAATTTTGGTGCGTAGAATCCAAAAAAATTCGTAGTTTTTCGATCAGACTTCTCAATAAAAAGTTATGGACAAAAAACAAATTTCGAAAAAAAATTCAAAGGGCTGTAACTTCTAGTAGCCCAATCTTCAAACGGTTTTAAATTATGGATTCTACGGGCCACATTCGATAAGAAAATGTTTTTTCCCGGTCGATCTCAGCCATTTTTTTTTCGGCCTCAAAAAAGGCAGTATACTTTTAAGTTATTCAAATATTTGAGAACAATTTAGAAATGTTTAGGGAAAGTTTCCATTGTCACAAAATCAAAGTATAACTTTTTTAAGTAATATTAAGACTTTTATACAGTATACTATTTTAAATTTTTAATGTATTTGTGTGACAAGTATTTGAATACTTTTTTCTGTATTCGAATACTTTTCAAAGTAAGTTAATGAAATACTTTTCAAAGTATTCGAATACTTTTTATAGTATTCGAATACCTTTGATAGTATTAGAATACTTTTGAAAGTATTCGAATACTTTGAAAGTATTCGAATACATTCTAAAGTGTTTGAATACTTTTCAATGTATCTGTATCTAGTATTCGCTTGTGCTGGACGTAAAAGTATTTAGTATTCAAATACCTTTGATTTGTGTAAAGTATTTACTATTTAGTATTCAAATACTTTTTGAAAGTATTCTGCCCAGCTGTGCTTGAAATATGATAAGCATTCTCAACTCTTTAAAAACGTTTCGTGATTTTATTCTAGAAACTTTCCGTCTGCTACATAAGCAAATTGAAGACTGTTTAAAACAAGTTCCAACATCGATGGCATAGTGATTATTAGTGAACTTCGCACTGGTATGCGATAAATTTACCTGTTATAAATTCATTAATAATTAATATTACATAAATAAATCAGGTAATAAGTAATATCATCTGGAAAAATCGATTATCTATATTTTAAATGTAGAGTTGGTACAGTATTTCAAATTCTTTAACTTCTAGCCAACGATCGAGTAACGAGTATGACCTTTATTTTATTTATTCATTTCTATGTATTTTTGATTATGTATTTTCCGTATGTTCAAAGTGAATAAAAAAATCGAATTCAAGATTGAAAGAAGCTAAAAAGCCTACTGAGCAAATACGGAAATTGAAGGAAACTTCTCTTTGTCGGAAAAATCGATTGAGAGAAGTAAGAGAGCTTTCCAATGGTATACTAAGGGGGCAGCAGTTGTTTGTAGCTTTAAATATATTGTAGCTAAATAGGAACGTTTGTAACACCAGTAGATACTACAACATTTTGCATTAGTGGCTGAGATGGCTTCTGCAAAAAGAAATCTTATTGATCTCGAGTAAATACAACCAAAAGGGATAATAAAGCTGTTCAAAAGACAAAGTTCTATGTTTGAGCTTAACTAATTCGGGACAGAAAACTTTCCTCAAAGTCCGTTAGAACTAAGCCTACATCTTGTGGCTAGTAAAAGGGTGTACTTGGATACCACATTTCACCAAACGTTGTTCGATCCTCATTATTTTTAAAGCTTCGTACGTTTTCCATTTAGTTACTTCAATAATTTTATTCGGAATATACGTTGCTCATACATTTGGCCCCTAATAAAGAAAATTTCATTACATTTTTTTCATCACTCACAGTCAGTTTAATAGGATAACTTCGTTGGCGAGGATTTAAAAGCATTGGAACGGAAAAACGTAACAAAGGGTTTGGTAATCTAAATTGTCATTGGAAATATTTAAAGACAATTTTTTTTGTAAATTTGCGGTCTTCGGCCTCTTGGCCTGTAATTATGAATCCATATTATTATTGTCAACCACTGCAGTAATTTTAACACGTGCAAGCAGGAATATTGTATAGAAACAAACAACCCTTTGTTTTCTGTACGTGCGGGAAGTACTACGCAACACAAAATGGAATTATTCGCTTGCTCAAAAAAAAGTAAAGTGGGGGTAATAAAGTTTCCTCTGTTAAAACCTCAAAGCCTAGAGAAGAGAGGAACGGAACCCTATTTAACTCCTCCCTCTAGAACTTCAACAATAATAACTCCAAAGCAGCCCCCTTGCAGAAAATTGCACTATATTCATCAACAACCAAAAAGTATGATAGTTTGGGTCTTTACTCCTTTTTTTAACCTTTACTTGTTGTAATTTCTAGTTCGTATCTTGTAATAATGTCTATTCTATGTCCGTTAACCTAGCAGAGAGCAAGGTCAGCAGAACACAATCAAACATATTGCATAATTAGGTGCTAATTAAGTGCCCTATTCCCGAATTAATTGCTCCTGTAGACCCGTCCTTAACGTTGTTATTTAGACGGCCCCGGTAGATACCATGTGCAATCCTCGTCTTTCTACAAGCGTTCTTCTACGGGCCCGCATTTGCTGCCATCCAGCCAGCCAGCCGGCAAAAGTGGGATTTAAAAGCTACCTTTTTACAAATACATTTGCAAAAATGGGCTAAATAGACTCAGCTCTTGCGTCAATGCAGAGATCTCAAACCCATGGATGAATGGAATTCAAGCAGATATATAAACTAGGGTATAAAACTTTCTTGAAAAATAAACTGAACATAGTATTTCACCTAATGAAGATATGAAGAATGAAAAATGTTAATTATCTTTATCTAAAACTGCCGCCAAGGAATGTAGTAACTATTTATTAAATTTATTCTGACCGCAGTAACACTCACAGTATAAACCTGCTTAAATAATTGCACATTTTTGTTGATGTTGATTTCATAATTGTTTATATACTTTAGTTTGTAAATACAGCTGAAACAACTTAAAAATAAATTCGCGGCGTAAGTTTACCACAAAAAAAAATGTTAACAACCTTGTCTTGTTGTGCACAAACAATTTTTTGGTACGAAAAACCATTTAATCATCAGTTCGCAATTTTAAACAAATTAATTGCTTTATTAATATTTAAAAAAAGACGGATTGTTAATGATTTTCTAGTTAGCAGGTTGTAGACTGCGCAATTTATTAAGAACCAATTATTCATTGAGACAATTAATTATAGTGTCAAGTAATTTTGCGTTTAAAATCGCCTAGAGCAAAATTTTTGAGAATCGTATACTTGGAAAATAAAGGCTTGATGTGTTTCCAATCTTAGGTTGAAGAACTGCCGAAATGGGCTGAAGAACTTCAGCCTTTCTTCTTCTACCTGATGCTCTTGGAGACGTATCTGTTATACATAGATGAAATTCTTGTA